AAAAACAGTGATTATGTGTGAGTGTGGTGAAAGTGTTGAATGATGATGAAAGCATTTTCTTTTTGGGGATTTTCTTTCTTTTTTTGGGTCACCCTGCCTCGGTGGGAGACGGCCAACTTGTTGAAAAAAAAAATTAGTACATATATATTATTGTAATAATAATATAATAATTATCATTATTATTATTATTATTAATTTAGGGAACTGGAGCACAGATCCACTATATAGCACTTTGGATTTTTTGGGTTATCCTAGGTAATTTACACTATGTATGAAAATTTTACTTATATGTACCTGTGAGAGAAAACAGAGATAGAGACACACACAATTAAATGAGTACAGATGGAGAGAGAGCCAAATTCAGTCAGCCAGGCAGCCAACCAACCACACACCCACTCACCCAGCTGAATACGTATTACACAAGTTCTAGAGTTTTCTCTTTACTTAGGGCATAGGTTATACGACACCCTGGCAGGATGACACTACCAGTGGTATTCTCCCATTCCACTGTGTCGACAATACAGTGGACCCTCAAGTAACGGCGGCATCGGTTAACGCCAAAATCGGTAAGTGTCATGTATTCTATTCATGAATAGAATACATGATACTTACCTTTATTGAAGATCTGGTGATGATTGATGGGATGGGAGGAGGGGAGAATGTGGAAGTTATTGTTTAGAAGGGGAATCCCCTCCATTAGGACTTGAGGTAGCAAGTCCTTTTCCGGGGTTACTTCCCTTCTTCTTTTAATGCCACTAGGACCAGCTCGAGAGTCACTGGACCTCTGCTGCACAACAAATCTGTCCATAGACCTCTGTACCTCCCATTCTTTTAAGACTTTCCTAAAAATGGGCCATAACACTGTCATTGTACAGGTTGACAACACGGCTTGCAGTAGCTGTGTCAGGGTGATTTTCATCCGTAAAGGTTTGCAGTTCAACCCACTTTGCACGCATTTCCTTAATCTTTGAAGTAGGCAACTTCCTCAATTTCTCTCTCCCTTCCTCTGAAGCAGCTTCCTCAGGTCTGGCCTCTTGCTGTTGAAGATGATCTAGCAGCTCATCAGCAGTTAGTTCGTCACTGTCCTCCTCCACCAACTCTTCCACATCCTCCCCACTAACCTCCAACCCCAAGGACTTCCCCAACGCCACAATGGATTCTTCAACTGGCATAGGATTCCCAGGGTTAGCCTCAAACCCTTCAAAATCCCTTTTGTCTACACATTCTGGCCACAGTTTCTTCCAAGCCGAGTTCAAGGTCCTCTTAGTCACTCCCTCCCAAGCCTTACCTACAAGGTTTATACATTTGAGGATATTAACCCTTTGACTGTCGCAACCCCCAATCCTGAGGTGTCTCCTGGTGTCGCAAAATTTAAAAAAAAAAAAATATTTTTTCTTATGAAATGATAGAGAATCTTTTCCCGATTGTAATGACACCAAAAAAACGAAATTCGATGGAAAACTGACGGAATTATGCTCTCGCGAAGTTAGCAACCTCGGCGCTGTTTACAAATCGGCGATTTCGCCCACTTTGAGCCCTATTTTCGGCTAATTCCATTGTTCCAGTCGCCCAAACTCATAGCTATTTCTTTAGAACTTCATTTTTTCTATCGATTGAGTACAAGAAACTGCCCATTTACTGATTTCAACTACCTAATAATGTGGTCAGAAATTTGCAATTTGGCCAATTTCACGAAAACTGAAAAATATGACAATTTCAAAATAATGTCCAGAATGAACAATGCAGACATTCCAGGCTCTAAAATAACGTTTTCTTTGTTCATCAGTCACGTCTCCAGGCCCCTCTGATATTACTCTTGCTTTCTATTTTGAATGTTTATTCAAACAAAAAATATTAGACTTACTATTATGCAGACTACTGCAATGCTGTAATAACTGTATAAATAACATCAACCCATTCATGACTGCATATTAGAATGGCTAGTTGGACATTTATTGGAAAATGGCATCATTTGTTTACTTTTGAACATTGGCAAAAATCAAAATTCCCCTACTTTGAGCTCCATTTCTAGGTTCTTTTTATAGTAAAATCAATCAAAACACCACTATTTCTGTAATATGTTTTCCATTCTATCAAATGAGACCAAGAAAACGAGAATACAACCATAAATACTATACGAAAATAGACCACAAAGTCGGCATTTTAATTAAAAAAAACGGTCGGAGTTTTTTTTTTCTCATTATGCACTGCGTGCTCCAGGATTTTTTTTATATGGTGCACACTGACCACACAGACCCATTCCCTCACATGTGGGCCTACCAGCTTTCTCCTGCTTGATTTGAAGCCGCTAGAATTTATGAGTATATATACGTCAAACACGGCACCTCGTAAAACGTATATATACGGCCGCGACAGTCAAAGGGTTAAAGTGATCCTTCCAAAACTCCTTTAGAGTCAATCGAGTGTCTGAGGTCACTTCAAAGCACTTTTGAAACATAGCTTTTGTGTCGAGTTTTTTGAAGTTTGAAATGACCTGCTGGTCCATGGGCTGCAGGATAGGAGTGGTATTAGGAGGCAAAAACTTGACCTTAATGAAGCTCATGTCCCCAGAAAGTTGCTCTGCCAAGTCTGAGGGATGACCAGGAGCACTGTCTAATACCAGGAGGCACTTAAGGTCCAATTTCTTTTCCAATAAGTAATTTTTCAGAGTGGGGGCAAATTCATGGTGTAACCAGTCATAGAAAAGTCCCTAGTGACCCATGCCTTACTGTTTGCCCTCCACAGCACACACAAATTAGCCTTGAGGACATTGTTTTGCCTGAATGTTTTGGGAGTTCCAGAGTGATACACCAATAAAGGCTTCACTTTGCAATCACCACTAGCATTAGCACACATCAAAAGAGTAAGCCTGTCTTTCATAGGCTTATGTCCTGGGAGTGCCTTTTCCTCCTGAGTAATGTAGGTCCCGTTTGGCATTTTCTTCCAAAACAGGCCTGTTTTGTCGCAATTAAACACTTGTTCGGGTTTCAAGTCTTCACTGTCTATGTACTCCTTGAATTCCTTCACGTATTTTTTAGCCGCTTTTTGGTCCGAACTGGCAGCCTCACCATGCCTTATCACACTGTATGCCACTACAATTCTTAGATCTCTCAAACCAACCTTTGCTGGCCTTAAATTCACTCACATTACTAGTTGCTGGCATTTTTCTAATTAAATCGTCATGCAACTTCCTAGCATTTTCACATATGATCGCTTGAGAGATGCTATCTCCTGCTATCTGTTTTTCATTTATCCACACCAGTAACAGTCTCTCAACATTTTGTATCACTTGCGATCTCTGTTTCGAAAACAAACTTGCACCTCTTGCAAGAACAGCTTCGTTGATTGCCTTTTTGTTGGCCAAGATATTAGTGATGGTTGATTGGTGTTTGGTATACAACCTGGCCAGCCCCGAGACACGCACTCCACTTTTGTACTTAGCAATTATCTCTTTCTTCATTTCCAAACTAGTTTTCACCCTTTTTACCACAGTGTTGGCACTAGAAGCTTTCTTGGGGCCCATGGTGACTTATTTTGCAGTTACAAGCACTAAAAACACTGTGATAATATGATATGTACCGAATGTATGCTTAGATGCGACCACACTGGCTGGCTTGTAAACACTGGCACCCACAGGGCAGCTGAGGCCACAAATGGGACGCGTCCTGGACGAATCACGTAAGGCAAGTTTTTTTATCATGAGGCGAGGCAAAATTTTTGCGTTCAAACGCTTCGTATGGCGGATTTAACGTAACGCAATGTGTTTGTAAGGCAGGGGTCCACTGTACACTGCAAAGTTGCCATTTTAAACCAAAAACACATTTTTTTTTGCTCATGCACTGTGTGCTGCAAGATTTTCTTTTACATGGTGCACACTTATCGCATAGACCCATTCTCCCATATCTAGGCCCAAATTTACCGCTTACAGCGTATCTGAGTGAGCCAAGCTCATGGATTCATACTATGAGACCAACACTGGCTCCAAAGCCATGATATTACAGAACCAACACTGAAAGGGTTAAACTCACCTCCAAAGCCTTGAACTATTTATTTTTTTATTTTTTTTATTTTTTTAACAAGTCGGCGTACTCAGAGCAGTGCACCAAAAAAGAAGAAAATCTTAAAGCAAAGAAAAATAGTGTTTCAAAAAAAACATCATTAACATTTCACCACACAAGTCGCACATATGAATACAGTTTATGAAATTCAGAGTGAGGAAGACAAAGTTCAGAAAGTGAGATTAAGACATGTAAGATTTCCACAACAATTCCCACCCAAACTGCTAATATCCCAAATCACACGCTTTAAATGGTGCAGGATTTACTTCCCATTTCCATAGGACTCAAGTCCGACTATATGAAAATAACCGGTTTCCCTGAATCCCTTCACTAAATATTACCCTGCTCACACTCCATAAGCAACAATTAAGCAAAATTTACTGAAAATTTTCTATGAAATGTTGTTTAAATAAATAAGCATTATTGTATTAAAAAACTAGTGTAGCATGTCTACTTAAATAGAAGACAAAATAGCACCTGTAAGTTATAAAAGATTGGAAAAATCTTTAAAGGGCTAATGTAGAATTTAAGAACCTAAGGAGTGTTTCAAAATGATAAATAACTATCAGTTAAGAGTTGTTATCTAACCACAAAACAAGTGTTAACCTAGGTGATGAAAGCTAACCAGTTTACTGAAAATTCACAGTGAATGGAAGCAAAAGTTCAATATAGTGATTGGGATTTGAAGAGGCAGTGTAAGATTACCAGCCCATCACACCAGTTCACCACACCACAACAGGTCATAAGGTTGAGGATGAACAACTAAAATTAGTCACAAGCTGTTGGTTGGGTCAGGATTTCTCCATAAAAACTTGCCAATAAATTCCATTTAGTGAACATCACCAACCTGTCCAGGATTCAGTTCAGAAAACCTTATGACCCTCTACTGTGTGATGAACTAAAGGGACAGGCTGCTAATCTCACACTGTGAATTACAATCCCGATCACACCACTGAACTACATTGTAACAGATTTCATTAAAATTATAATAACTAAAAAAGACCAGTAATATGTAAACAAAAGATCAAAAGAAAAACTATTATCAAAGTGAAACTTACGTGGCATATTAGGGAGACCAAACGGTGGTGGTAACATTGTTGGAGGTGGTAGAACTGGGGCACTAGGAGGCAGGGGCGGTGGGACATCTCTTGAAACGTCTTGGTTTTTTTCTACTGGCGGAGGTGGCATAGGAGGTAAAGGTGCAACAATTTCTTGGCTACGAGTATTTGGTGGGTGACCAGGTGGTACTCCTATAGGCACAAAACCTGGTGGAGGTCCAGGAGGTGCTCCTTCCAAACCATAGCGCCCTAAGAATCAATTCCCAAATAAAATATGTGTTGATAGCAATAAGCTAAGCATTGTAATATCTTGCACATTTTTATATTCATTGGGAAGAGTTAAACCTACAGGAGTCATACAGTGTCTAGGAAATGAGAGGTAATCAGATTTAATTCAAGGAAGGGGAACGTAGCTCTAATTCTTTGGATCAAATGCTTTTTCATCACCAAAGAATGCCTCTTGAACAGTGTAATTTCTTGCAAAAGGATCATCAAAATAAATTAAAAACTATCAAAGTAATACAGTATATTTAAGAACAAAATTACACAAAGATACATTTATAAGTACCAATGTGAAATTATTCATAGTAGTGATAAAATGTTGCTAAACATACTGTGAAATGGGAAAATTTGTAGTAAATACATTACTAGTGTTAAAATGTCTGTGGAAGTGATTACATTTGATCTCTCTTCAAACATTAATGGAATACAGCAATAAAAATTAAGATAAAGATAGGAAATAGAGAAAAATATAACATGACTACATTTAAACTGAAAAACTAGATAAGACATTATGAAGCAAGCATATACATGCCTGTGACAGGTTTAGAAGCTTCTTTTTCCTCACAGCCAGGCCTAAGGCCAAACTTCCCTACAGTGCGCCTGATAACTAGATTGATGCTGCCAGCAGTCCACGGATCTACAATCAATTTATCAACCTAGATGATCGGGTACGTATTGTAGGAAACAGTCCAGCTCCCTCTTGAAAACTTCGACCTCTGTTCTGATAATTTCTTTTATCTACTAGTACAAGTCTGAGGTGTAATAACCACATATATTAACAGTATTGTCTATAAATTAGACACATGTGCAACTCTTGGGTATCTTTATTGAGGAAACGTTTCGCCACACAGTGGCTTCATCAGTCCATACAAAGGAGAATCTTGAAGAACAGGAGGAGAATGAGGTAATCAGTCCCTCAACCTTGAGTCGATGTGGTCAGTCCATCAATCTTGAATAGAATACGGCATACGTGCTGAGAAGGAGCTTATAAACCGTTGGCAGGAGAGGTGCAGCAGTCATAGGTCGGGTAACATATGATCAATTTCTTATTTACATCTGTGCAATCCCAAAGCCTTTCATGATGTGATGTTAGTGTACCGCTCTTATGCCACTGTCCTGCTCCCCCTGCTTGTGAAATGTAGTTATGTCTACATTCTTTAGGATTTCTCAAATTTCACCTAAATCAAAGCTCTTTCTCACAGAACACTGAGAGCTCATGATAGTGGTATACCTAGAGAGGGTTTTGGGGGTCAATGCCCCCATGGCCCAGTCTGTGACCAAGCCCCATGGTGGATCAGGGCCTGATCAACCAGGCTGTTACTGTAGGCCGCATGCAACCCAACATATGAACTACATCCCGGCTGGTCAGGTACTGAATTTAGATGCCTGTCTAGTGCCTTCTTGAAGACAGCCAGGGGTCTATTGGTAATCCCCCCTATGTATGCTGGGAGGCAGTTGAACAGTCTTGGGTATGACACTTATTGTGTTGTCTCGTATCATGCGAGTGGCACCCCTGCTTTTCATTGGGGGGATGTTGCATCATCTGCCGAGTCTTTCGCTTTCATAGGGAGTGATTTTCGTGTGCAAGTTTGGTACTAAATCCTCTAGGATTTTCCAAGTGTATATAATCATGTATCTCTCCTGCCTACATTCTAGGGAGTACAGGCTGAGGAAATTCAAGCATTCCCAGTAAATGAGGTGTTTTATCACAGTTATGTGTGCTATGAAGGTTCTCTGTACATTTTCTAGGTCAGCAATTTCACCTGCCTTGAAAGGTGATGACTTCGGGTGTCATCTGCAAAGAAAGACACGGTGCTGTGGCTTATATCCCTATCTATGTCAGATATGAGGATGAGGAACAGGATGGGAGCGAGTACTGTGCCTTGTGGAACAGAGCTTTTCACCGTAGCCGCCTCAGACTTTACTCTGTTTACTACTACTCTGTGTTCTATTTGTTAGGAAATTATAGAGCCACCTACCAACTTTTCCTGTTATTCCTTTATCACGCATTTTGTGCACTATTACATCATGGCCACACTTGTCATGAGCTTTCGCAAAGTCTGCGTATACTACATCTGCATTTTGTTTGTCTTCTAGACCATCCAGGACCTTGTCATAGTGGTCTAATAGTTGGGACAGACAGAAGCGACCTGCTCTAAACCCATGTTGCCCTGGGTTGTGTAACTGATGGGTATATAGATGGGTGGCAATCTTGCTTCTTAGAATCCTTTCAAAGATTTTAGTTGAACACACAATAATGCTGGAGTACCAAGTACATTAGTGTGCAATAAATTTCTTCGTTGAACTCTGTAGGATTTGTGCTAAAGCCGGATGCTATATGATTTATGGGGTGGGCCTTTCGATGTTTGTAGGCTTTGCGATATCGAATATACACTTTATAGGGTGGGCTGAGCTTATGAAAAACATTTAACCTTTAAAATGTGTCCAGTGTACTAGTATACAACTGATGTGTGTCCATTGTACTGGTACAGTACACACAATTTTTCATACCTTCAAATCTTCCACCTGCAAACATTTTTGAGCTCAGTACAACTCTTGAGTCTTCTACGATCTCTTCACACCTTCGAAAAATCTAAGTACAGGAAGGTTCTCACAGTGCATTATGGTTTACTACACAGGTGATGACTATGTGTCTGACATACTAATACACCTAACATAAGCAAACAAGGAAATCAGGAGAGGTTGTTCCCCCCACTAGCAAACATACGGAAATGGCACAAGGTCGACTAATTCACTCAAAAATTATCGCAATTTCATGATATTCACAGTGGAATTCAACCATAAAGCATATTAAGCAGATTTAACCCAGGATAAACCCAACAGAACCAAGCAATACGACTTCTTTCCATGTGCCTGGAAGGCACACACAATATTTACATAACTCAGGATATTTCCTCAAACCTAAATATTTTTTTTTTTTATTATCACACTGGCCGATTCCCACCAAGGCAGGGTGGCCCGAAAAAGAAAAACTTTCACCATCATTCGCTCCATCACTGCCTTGCCAGAAGGGTGCATTACACTACAGTTTTTAAACTGCAACATTAACACCCCTCCTAAATATATAATATATAACAAATAACTCAGAATAACCCAATCCAGTGGAACCTCTATTTGCGAGTTTAATCTGTTCCATTACCTTGCTCGCAACTAGATTTTCTCGTTTGCAGAGTCAATTTTCCTCATTTAAATTAACTGAAATGCAATTAATCCGTTCCAGTGGCATTCTGTACTTCAATAAATTCACAAACATCAACTCTACGGCTTATTTATCTATCACAGTTCATCTAATATGACATAACAATATAAATAACATAGAAACCTGATATATACTCAAGAATGTATAAAATATGTCATTATGTAACAGGTGGTAAACACTGCCATCTAGTGACGGTCTTTTGAAGTCGTCTACTATAATTATTATTATGTAATACATTATTATTACATATGTATTATTGTATTAATGTAGGTAGTAGGTTGGTAGACAGCAACCACCCAGGGAGGTACTACCGTCCTGCCAAGTGAGTGTAAAATGAAAGCCTGTAATTGTTTTACATGATGGTAGGATTGCTTGTGTCCTATTTTCTGTCTCATAATCATGCAAGATTTCAGGTACGTCTTGCTAGTTCTACTTACACTTAGGTCACACTACGCATACATGTACAAGCATATATATACACACTCCTCTGGGTTTTCTGCTATTTTCTTTCTAGTTCTTGTTCTTGTTTATTTCCTCTTATCTCCATGGGGAAGTGGAACAGAATTCTTCCTCCATAAGCCATGCGTGTTGTAAGAGGCGACTAAAATGCCGGGGGCAAGGAGCTAGTAACCCCTTCTCTTGTATAAATCACTAAATTTAAAAAGAGAAACTTTCGTTTTTCTTTTTGGGCCACCCTGCCTCAGTGGGATATGGCTGGTTTGTTAAAAAAAAAAATTATTGTATTATTGTAGGCAGTAGGTTGGTAGACAGCAACCACCCAAGGAGATACTACTGTCCTGCCAAGTGAGTGTAAAACGAAGGCCTGTAATTGTTTTACATAATGGTAGGATTGCTGGTGTCTTTTGTCTGTCTCATAAATATGCAAGATTACAGGTACATCTTGCTACTTCTAGTTACACTTAGGTCACACTACACATATATGTACATGTTTGTTTATACACACTCATCTGAGTTTTCTTTGATTTTATCTTAATAGTTCTTGGTCTTATTACTTTTCCTTTTATATCCATGGGGAAGTGGAATAAGAATCTTTCCTCCATAAGCCATGGGTGTTGTAAAAGTCAACTAAAATGCTGGGAACAATGGGCTAGTAACCCCTTTTCCTGTAATAATTACTAAAAAGAATAAGAAGTTAAGACAGAATGTAGGATTGCGGATGAGCAGGGAGATTTCAGAGAGGGTAGGGGATGTGTAGATCGTCTTTACATTGAAGCATATATGTGAACAGTATTCAGATAAAGGTAGGGAAGTTTTTATTGCATTTATGGATTTAGAAAAGGCATATAAGAACATAAGAACATAAGAATGTAGGAACACTGCAGAAGGCCTACTGGCCCATACGAGGCAGGTCCTTATCAAAACGATATCTACCTAAAGCTACTCAAGAAATAACTCCCATACCCCTTGACACCAATCAAACCCAGCCCCTCCCACTCATATATTTGTCCAGTCTCTTCTTAAAGCTACCCAAGGTCCTAACCTCTATCACCCCACTGGGAAGACTGTTCCACGCATCTACAACTCTGTTAGAAAACCAGTACTTACCTATGTCCTTTCTAAATCTAAATTTATCCAACTTAAATCCATTATTCCTATGATAGAGTGGATAGGGGAGCAATGTGGCAGATGTTGCAAGTATATGGAATAGGTGGTAAGTTACTAAATGCTGTAAAGAGTTTTTATGAGGATAGTGAGGCTCAGGTTAGGGTGTTCTGTAGAAGAGAGGGAGACTACTTCCCAGTAAAAGTAGGTTTTAGACAGGGATGTGTAATGTCACCATGGTTGTTTAATATAGTTATAGATGGGGTTGTAAAAGAAGTAAATGCTAGGGTGTTCGGGAGAGGGGTGGGATTAAATTATAGGGAATCAAATGAAAAAATGGGAATTGACACAGTTACCTTTTGCTGATGATACTGTGCTTAAGGGAGATTCTAAGGAAAAATTGCAAAGGTTAGTGAATGAGTTTGGGAGTTTGTGTAAAGGTAGAAAGTTGAAAGCGAACATAGAAAAGAGTAAGGTGATGAGAGTATCAAATGATTTAGATAAAGAAAAATTGGATATCACATTATCATTTAGATAAAGAAAAATTGGATATCACATTGGAGAGAGGGAGTATGGAAGAAGTGAACGTTTTCAGATATTTGGGAGTTAACCTGTCAGTGGATGGGTTTATGAAAGATGAGGTTAATCACAGAACTGATAAAGAAATAAAGGTGAGCGGTGCTTTGAGGTGTATGTGGAGACAAAAATTTTATCTATGGAGGCAAAGAAGGGAATGAATGAAAGCATAGTTGTAAAACTCTCTTATATGGGTGTGAAGCTCGAGTTGGAAATGCTGCAGCAAGGAGGCGGTTGGAGGCAGTGATGTCCTGTTTAAGGGCAATGTGTGGTGTACATATTATGCAGAAAATTCAGAGTGTGGAAATTAGAAGGTGTAGAGTTAATAAAAGTATTAGTCAGAGAGCTGAAGAGGGGATGTTGAGGTGGTTTGGTCATTTAGCAATCAAAGTAGAATGGCATGGAGAACATATAAATCTGTAGGGAAAGGAAGGCGGGGTAGGGGTCATCCTCAAAAAGGTTGGAGGGAGGGGGCAAAGGAGGTTTGTGGTTGAGGGGTTTGGACTCCCAGCAAGAGTCAGTGAGCGTGTTAGATAGGAGTGAATGGAGACGAATGGTTTTTGGGACCTGACGAGCTGTTGGAGTGCGAGCTGGGTAATATTTAGTGAAAGGATTCAGGGAAACCAGTTACTTTTATACAGCCCGACTTGAGTACTGGAAATGAGGAGTACAATGCCTGCACTTCAAAGGAGGGGTTTGGGATATTGGCAGTTTGGAGGGATATGTTATATATCTTTATATATGCTTCTAAACTGTTGTATCTGGGTGCCTCTGCAAAAACAGTGATTATGTATGAGGTGAAAGTGTTGAACAATGATGAAAGTATTTTCTTTTTGGGGATTTTCTTTTTCGGTCACCCTGCCTTGGTGGGAGACGGCCGATTTGTTGAGAAAATAAAAAAAATTAATCACACCCCTCTCCCCAACACCCTAGAATTTACTTCTTTTACAACTCCATCTAAATGTTAAATAACCATGGTGACATTACACATCTCCCAAAAACCTACTTTTACTGAGATGCTATCTCCCTCTCTCCTACACACCCTAACCTGAGCCTTACTATCCTCACAAAAACTCTTTACAGCATTTAGTAACTTACTACCTATTCCATATACTTGCAATATCTGCCACATTGCTCCCCTATCCATTCTATCATATGCCTTTTCTAAATCCATAAATGCAATGAAAACTTCGCTACCTTTATCTAAATACTGTTCACATACATGCTTCAATGTATACACTTGATCTACACATCCTGTGCCCATTCTAAAGCCTCCTTGTTCATCTGCAATCCTGCTCTCTGTCTTACTTCTAATTCTTTCAATAATAACTGTACCATATTTCCTTTATAAAAGTTATAAATCTGCTATGTCTTATCAGTTGGTCTGTTGCTCTAATGTAACAGCTTCTGATTTTGGTATGCCCTGTATAACAGTTGCTGGTATAGAGTGGTGTAAGCTTTTGATATGGATGGTATCCACTCACTCCTGGGATGCCTTGTATACCCTCATGTAACAGTTCCTGTAATGATTGGTATGCTCTGGTTCCTAGAATGATTCATATTCCCTTGTACAATAGTTCTTGGAATATCTAGTATGCTATTATAAGTTCCTGAAATGGCTAGTATGCCTGGGGATAAATTCCTGTAATGGTTGGTATGCCCTGTTATAAGTTTTTTGGAACAATTAGTATGCCCTGTTATTAATTCCTAGAATGACCGGTATGCCTCCTTATATACATATAGAATAATTCTAATGACATTCGGCTTCAATCAAAAAACAAATAAAACAATTATGAAGGTTTTCCACTGTGCAATTGCTTTGTGTCTGAATTAAATTGAATATAAAAATGTAGGGGGTAGGAATAAGGATTTCTAGAGGAAATGTAAACAAGCATGAAAAATGGAATTATAAGAATTGCTTCCATGCACAGTTAAAGCCAACAGAACTAACCTTTCCTTCCTACACAATGGAGAGAACAGAAAGAATGAAATATTATGCAGGTTTAAGAACTTCAGGTGTAAGGGCTTCAAAGGAAGCATAATTACATGAATTATTTTTTTAGCATAATAAAACAAAGAAGTAGGACAGGGGCAAAGGATTTTTTTTTTTTTGTGAAATATCATCATTTATTTGTGCAGAAAAATGCAATAATGTATAAGGCATGAATGACAAGTTGCAAAAATTACCTATTCCATGCATATAAAACAATAGGTAAAGTGTAGCTGAAAAAAATAATACACTACAAAAAACTTCTTTTCAGTTTATAAGAGAAACCCCCTTATCATATGATCAAAGATAATAAAAAAGTTAACCCTTGATTTAACAGATCTCAATTTTGTGGGTTTTGGAAATAAAGGACAAAATTCACCGGGTTAATTGATTTGGAAACAATGGATGTTCTTTGATTACAGAATTGTCCATTATTACGATCACAGCAAGACACTTTAAACTCTGACCACCGCTATCATTATTACCGGCAACTGCTCTTCCATATTAGTCCACTAAATAGGGGTTTTTCTGCAACTGCATAATACATTGTTATATATGCATATCTACATTTAAGACACTAACCTCTGAGCCAATCAGGAACAGTTTCTTCATCAATCATGCCACCTTCTTCCAGGTTGTCCAAGTCAATGCTACTCATGGTGATTAACTTGTGGAATGGGATGTATGAGCAGCCAACATCTACTTCCCAGTAGTCCTTGAACTCCTTACCTTTTACACCTTTGCCAGGGGCCCAGGCTAATGTTATAGCTTTATTCTGGAAAAATTAACACATACTTATTAAAAATGAACATTTATATAACTAATAGGCATATGGCAATTTGTGGCCACTCCCCCTTTCCTTTTAAATTTAGACTTTTTCCTTACATATACAAACCTGTGAGTATTATGTGGAGAATAATGTTATATACATACCAGGGGACCTTACTGTTCAAAATGAAAAACATGTACAAGATTCACATAGAGATAGCATACTATGATTTTTTTTTAATAGAAGACTAAAATTTCCTTCACAACTCTGACCCCCTGACAAGTTCCAAGCAATTAATGAACTATTTACCACAATCTGTAACCATCTTGGCCTATATACCCCCTTGCTCATTCCCCACTATACACACACCACTACTGTTCCACTATGAAGATTGGGGAAGAAGCAAAAAGATCAGAGGGACAAAGGCTGTTCTTCTTTCTTTCAACAAGCCAACCACATCCCACCAAAGTAGAGTGACCCAAAAAGAAAATCAAAAAGAAAAACAAAAGACAAAAGCTGTTGATTTCACTAAAAAACAAAGTCCTGGAGTGACCATAGTGCCTGGTACATCAGAGGCTCACATCACCTGAATAACCTCTACAGCCAATGCTCATCTTACAAATCAGGAATTTCGAGAGTTATTCTGAGCCCTTTATACAACATATGTCAAACCCATCTTGAAGTCTGCAGCCCCAGTATGGAACCCACACCTAAAAAAGCATTTGCAAAAGCTGGATGGAGTGCTGAAGTATGTAGCAAGGCTTGTTCCAGAACTAAGAGGTATGAGCTGTGAGGTAAGGCTAATAAAAATTAAACTAACGACACTGAGGGATAGAAGAACCAGTGGAGATATGATCACAAGTTCACAACATACAAAATATGAGGAATTGATAAGGTAGAAATGGACTGGCTGTTTAAGAAGTGATAAACAAATACTCAGGGACACAGTTGAAAGCTTAAGACACTGATGAGCCACAGGGATGCCAGGAAGTATTTCTTCAGTGTCAGAGGGGTCAGGAAGTGGAGCGATCTTGAAGTGGTAAAGGCAGGCTCCATACATCGTTTAAAGAGCAAGCACAATAAGGCACATGTGGCCAGGAGTGAATGTGGCAAGGAGCAAGTTGAGGGTGGGGCCAGAAGTTAGAAATTCAACTTTTGCAACCACACACAGGTAAGCATTGGGGAGGATATACAATATCTCTAAAATAAACTCATTATGGTTAATTCTGATTTGTAATCTTAATGAATATTTATTAACCCTTTCAGATTTTGGCCGTACTAGTACGGCTTACACCCCAGGGTTTTTGACATACTAGTACGCCTAAATTCTAGCGCCCTCAACCAGCGATGGCATCGATTAACGATAAATCTGACTAGCGATACATTTTAACGCAAAAATTTTGCCTTGACTAGCGCTTAAAAACTCGACCAGCGCTATTCGTTCCGTACGAGACACATCCACTTTGGCCTGAGCGCGCCTCACTTGTCCCGTGGGTGCCAGTGTTTACAAGCCAGCCACCGCGGTCGCTTCCAAACATACAACTGGAACATTTCATATTATCACAGCCTTTGTAGTGATTGCACCTGCAAAATAAGTCACCATGGGCCCCAAGAAAGCTTCTAGTGCCAATGCTACAGGAAAAAGGGTGAAAATTACTATGGAAATGAAGAAAGAGATCATTGCTAAGTATGAAAGTGGAGTGCGTGTCTCTGAGCTGGTCAGGTTGCATAATAAACCCCAATCAACCATCGCTACTATTGTGGGCAAGAAAACGGCAATCAAGGAAGCTGTTCTAGTCAAAGGTGCAACTATGTTTTCGAAACTGAGATCACAAGCGGTAGAAGATGTTGAGAGACTCTTATTGGTGTGGATAAACGAGAAACAGATAGCAGGAGATAGCATCTCTCAAGCAATCATACGTGAAAAGGCTAGGAAGTTGTATGACGATTTAATTAAAAAAATGCCAGCAACTAGTAATGTGAGTGAATTTAAGGCCAGCAAAGGTTGATTTGAGAGATTTAAGAAGCTTAGTGGCATTCATAGTGTGATAAGGCATGGTGAGGCTGCCAGTTCGGACCACAAAGCGGCTGAAAAATATGTGCAGGAATTCAAGGAGTACATAGACAGTGAAGGACTGAAACCTGAACAAGTGCTTAATTGTGACGAAACAGGCCTGTTTTGGAAGAAAATGCCAAACAGGACCTACATTACTCAGGAGGAAAAGGCACTCCCAGGACATAAGCCTATGAAAGACAGTCTTACTCTGTTGATGTGTGCCAATGCTAGTGGTGATTGCAAAGTGAAGCCTTTATTGGTGTATCACTCTGAAACTCCCAGAGTGTTCAGGAAAAACAATGTCGTCAAGGCTAATTTGTGTGTGCTGTGGAGGGCAAACAGTAAGGCATGGGTCACTAGGGACTTTTTCTATGACTGGTTACACCATGCATTTGCCCCCCCTGTGAAAAATTACCTAATTGAAAAGAAATTAGACCTTAAGTGCCTCCTGGTATTAGACAATGCTCCTGGTCATTCTTCAGACTTGGCAGAGCGACTTTCTAGGGACATGAGCTTCATTAAGGTGAAGTTTTTGCCTCCTAATACCATACCTCTCCTGCAGCCCATGGACCAGCAGGTCATTTCCAACTTCAAGAAACTGTACACAAAAGCTATGTTTGAAAGGTGCTTTGTAGTGACCTCAGAAACTCAACTGACTAAGAGAGTTTTGGAAAGATCATTTTACCATCCTCAATTGTGTAAACATTATAGGTAAGGCTTGGGAGGAAGTGACTAAGAGGACCTTGAACTCTGCTTGGAAAAAACTGTGGCCAGAATGTGTAGACAAAAGGGATTTTGAAGGGTTTGAGGCTAACCCTGAGAATCCTATGCCAGTTGAGGAATCCATTGTGGCATTGGGGAAGTCCTTGGGGTTGGAGGTTAGTGGGGAGGATGTGGAAGAGCTGGTGGAGGAGGACAATGATGAACTAACCACTGATGAGCAGCTAGATCATCTTGAACAGCAAGAGGGCAAACCTGAGGAAACTGCTTCAGAGGAGGGGAGAGAGAAACTGAAGAAGTTGTCTACTTCTAAGATTAAGGAAATGTGTGCAAAGTGGCTTGAAGTGCAAACCTTTTTTGATGAAAATCACCCTGACACAGCTACTGCAAGCCGTGTTGGCAACCTGTACACTGACAATGTTGTGAACCACTTTAGGAAAGTCATAAAGGAACGAGAGGTACAGGTATCTATGGACAGATATTTTGTGCGACAGAAGTGCAGTAACCCCAGAAAAGGACTTGCTACCTCAAGTGCTAATGGAAGGGGATTCCCCTTCTAAACACTAAGAAGACCAACAGTCTCCCCTCCTCCCATCCCATCAATTATCACCAGATCTTCAATAAAGGTAAGTGTCATGTAACTGTGCATGTCTTCTTCAGTTTGTGTGCATTAAAATTAATATTTCATGTGGTAATTTTTTTTTTCAATACTTTGGGGTGTCTTGCACGGATTAATTTGATTTCCATTATTTCTTATGGGGAAAATTAACTTGACTAACGATTATTTCGATTAACGATGAGCTCTCAGTAACGGATTAATATCGCTGGTTGAGGGTCCACTGTATACTCAATAATTCTAGTGGCTTCAAATCAAGCAGGAGAAAGCTGGTAGGCCCACATGTGAGAGAATGGGTCTGTGTGGTCAATGTGCACTGCATAAAAATAATCCTGCAGCACGCAGTACATAAGAAAAAAAAATCCAACTGTTTTTGGATTAAAACACCGACTTTGCGGTGTTTTCACATGGCATTTATGGGTGTATTCTCGTTTTCATGGTCTCATTTGATAGAATGGAAAACATATTACAGAAATAGTGTCGATTCTAATTAGTTTGACGATGAAAACGACCTTGAAATTGAGCTCAAAGTAGCGGAAATGTTCAATTTTTACCGATGTTCAAAAGTAAACAAATCACACCACACGTCCAATACACGTCAACTGTGGAGTAATATTCTTTCATTAGTGCACTGATATTATTTATACCAATTTTTACAATAATGTAGTAGTCTGCACAACAGTAAATCTTCTATTTTTTGTGTGAATAAAAAAATAAAAATAGAAAGCAAGAGTAATATAAGAGGGGCCTGGAGATGTGACTAATGAACAGAGGATATGTTATTTTAGCGCCAAGAATGTCTACAGTGTTTATTCTGGACCCTATTTTGAAATTGGCATCTTAAAATTTTTAATTTGCATAAAATTGACCAAATTGCAAATTTCTGACCACTTTATTGGGTAGTTAAAATTGGCAAATGGGCAGTTTTTTGTACTCAATTGACAGAAAAAATAGAGTTCTAAAGAAATTGCTACGAGTTTGATCAACTGGAACAATGGAAAATAGGGTTCAAAGACAGCGAAATCACCAATGTGTATATATCGCCAAGATCACTAACTTCAAGGGAGCGTAATTTTGTAAGTTTTCAATTAAATTTCGTACCTTTGGTGTCATTAGCATCAGGAAAAGATTCTCTATCATTTCATAAGAAAAAAAAATTTCAATTATTTTGCAACATAGAATGACAGTTTCAGAAAGGGACTTGCGACAGTCAAAGAGTTAACAATAAAAAGGCAAACTTGCACCATAATACCCAAAAGCAAAAGAATTCAACAAAAATAAATAACACTAGCATAAGCAAGTGTACACTACACAAAATAGAAGGGAAACCTGAGAAAAAAAGCAGAGCCAAAAGTACACATTACAAAGTTTTTTAGTGGTGGAACAATCAAATGGATTACAAGATAAGGTAGCAGGTGCCACAACCACTAGATGAAATGGAATTCGAATACCAACAAGTTGTGAAAAAGACATTTTGTCTCAAACAATGCAGAGGCATCTCTTTCCACTATGAAGAAAAAAACAAACAAAAGATGATGTTATTCTCAATGGGGAAGTGGAGAAGAATCCTTCCTCCATAAGCCATGTGTGTCATATGTGGAGACTCAAATGCTGAGAGCAAGGGCTAGTAACCCTTTCTCCTGTATAAATTACTAAATGTAAAAATAAAAAAAAAACTTTACTAAGGAAGTGTTTCTTCTCTGTATCACTACCTTGGTAAGAGATGGCCAGTGGTAAAAAAAAATATTTTTTTTTAACACATCAGCAGTCTCCCACCATGGCAGGGTGACCCGAAAAAGAAAGAAACACTTTAACAATTATTCAAACATAATCACTGTCTTTGCAGAAGAGTCTAGATGTCACTCAAAACAGCCAATATCCCAAACCCTTTCTTTAAAATGCAGGCACTGTACTTCCCACCTCCAGGACTGAAGTCCAGCTAACCAGTTTCCCTGAATCTCTTCACAAAATATTACCCTACTCACACTCCAACAGCTCATCAGGTCCCAAATCCATTCATCTCTATTCACTCCTAACACATGCTTGCTGCATGTCCAGGCCCCTTGCACACAAAACCTCTTTTACCCCCTCCCTCCATCCTTTCCTAGAATGACCCCTACCCCTCCTCCCCTCCAATACAGATTTATACACCCTCCAAGTCATTCTATTTTGCTCCATCCTCTCTAAATGACCAAACCACCTCAATAACCCCTCTTCAGCCGTAAAGCAGAAATCGCTGTAAAGTGAAACACCCTTTCTTTCCACTTATAAATGCATAGAAATACTGGATAACAGTTTACACAAACATATATTAAGTTAGCAAAAGAACTTGGTACAATGGACCCTCAGTTAAGGATATTAATCCGTTCCAGAGAGCTTGTCTTTAACCGATTTTATCGTTATCCAAATTAATTTTCCCCTAAGAAATAATGGAAATCTAATTAATCTGTTCCAGACACCCAAAAGTATTAAAAAAAAAAAAATTTCACAAGAAATATACATTTTCCTCCACAGAAAACAATGAGACTACAGAAAAAATACATTAATAATTCATAAAATGACACTTACCTTTATTGAAGACTTAGTGATGAGATGGGTGGAGGGGAGAGAATGGAGGTGTATTATTGTTTAGAAGGGAAATCCCCTTCCAGAAGGACATTAGGTAGCAAGTCCTTTTCTGGGGTTACCACCCTTCTTTGCTTTTTAATGCCACTAGGACCAGCTTGAGTGTCACTGGACCCCTGCTGCACCAAAAATCTGTCCATAGAGCTCTATTTCTGGCTTGTCTTCAAGATTTCCCTAAAATAGGACACAACATTGTCATTGTAAAAGTCACCAGCACAGCTTGCAACAGCTGTGTCAGGGTGATGTTCATCCTTTATGGCTTGCACCTTTGTCCACATTGTACAAATATCCTTAATCGTTGAAGAAGGCAACTTCCTCCATCTCTCTTTCCCCTCCTCTCAAGCAATTTCCTCAGCTGTGGTCTGTAGCTGTTGCAAATGAAGCTCTTGCAGCTCATCAGTGGTTAGCTCTTCATCGTCGTCCTCCATCAACTCTTCCACATCCTCGCCACTAACCTCCAACCCCATGGACTTCCCCGATGACACAACAGATTCCACAAATGGTATAGGCTCCTCAGGGTTAGCCCCAAACCCTTCAAAATCCCTCTCTTGTACACACTGTGGCCACAATTTTCTCCGAGCAGAGTTCAAAGTGCTGCAAGTCACTCCCTCCCAAGCCTTACCTATAAGGTTTATGCAAATGAGAATACTGAAGTGATCTTCCCAGAACTCTCTTAGGGTCAACTTCAAAGCACTTTTGAAACACTACTTTGGTGTACAGTTTTTTGAAATTTGAAATGACCCATTGGCCCATGGGCTGGAGGAGAGGAGTGGTGTTAGGGAACAAAAATTTCACTTTGGTGAAACTAAACTCCCCCACAATTCACTCTTGCAAGTCTGGAGGATGAGCAGGAGCATTGTCTAATACCAGAAGGCATGAGTTCCAATTTATTTTCCAGGAGGTAAGTTTTCACACTGGAGCCAAACACTTCATAGAACCAATCGAGGAAAATGTCCCTAGTGACCAATGCCTTACTGTTTGCCCTCCACATCACACACAAATTAGGCTTGACGACACTGTTTCTCTTGAACACTCTGGGAGTTTCAGAGTGATACACCAGTAGAGGCAATCCCCACTAGCATTACTACAAAACATGTGAGTTAGCCTGTCTTTCATAGGCTTGTGTCCTGGGAGTGCCTTTTCCTCCTGAGTAATGTAGGTCCTGTTTGGCATTTTCTTCCAAAACAGGCCTGTTTCATCACAACTGAACACTTGTTGGGGTTTTAATTTTTCAGCCTCTATGCAGCCCTTAAATTCCTGCACATATTTTTCAGCTGCTTTTTTGTCAGAACTGGCAGTATCACCATGCCGTATCACACTGTGTATGCTACTACAATTCTTAAATCTCTCAAACCAGCCTTTGCTGGCCTTAAATAAATTATGAAAGTAGTGATCTAATGCAGTTAGCCTCACAAACTCCATTTTCTCTCATAATAACACCTCTGAAGGGCAAGCATGGGAAGAAGTTTTCATAGCAGGAGCGAGAATGCCCGTAACCACTCTCCTCCACTGCCGTCACCACTAGCCACTTACGTAATGAAATTTTTTATCCATTCTAGTATGTATATCAGGTTTCTGTTATTTATATTGTTTATTATGTCATATTAGATGAACTGTGATAGATAAATAAGCTGCAGAGTTGATACTAGCATCATATTCAAGTATTTTGCCATGCCTTCTGAGAGCAGGAATTCCTCTGGAGAGGATTAATGGCATTTCAATTAATTTAAATGAGGAAAACTGACTCAGCATACAAACAAATCGGGATATGAACAAGGTCATGGAACAGATTAAATTCGTAAGCCGAGGTTCCACTGTACATCTTTACTAAATACCACACTTTAGGCCACCTTCAAAATATTACCTACTAGCACACTGCTATTAGTAGTTTAAATGTATACAAACAGTGGGGCTATGACATTACCCCTTCTGTCGGTCTCTAAGCCTGCAGGCAAGACAATCCTTGAGTAGTCTCCATTACACAGGCCCCTGCACACTAGGGCCTTACAGGTAAACATGAGAGACCAAAACCAATAAAATAACCTATGGCCTAAACTACTCAAAATCACCCCCACCCCCTGCTAACACAAACACAAAACCATGAAGTCTTGTCCAGCCAACACTCTCCTCGTACTGACTCAAAAACACACCTCACCTGCTCCTGTACTGTCCTGGCTACTCTTCAGGACTATTACACATCCAGTTTCGGAATAAATCCTGTAATCTGGCATTATATATGGAGCATTTTTTATACACATTTTTTACAACACTGCATAATACCAGTTTGATGGAAAAAAAAAATATATGTATCACCCTGCCTCGGTGGGAGACGGCCGACTTGCTAAAAAAAAAAAAATATACACGTGTGTGTGCATACACCGCTCAATCACAATGACGACAAAGCATTCGGAGTTCATCACAATGGACTGTAAACTAAACATATGTGACAAAGTATGGCTATCAAATTGAAGTAATCTGTTCTCCTACAATTTACTGTAATAGTAAAACATAATCTCAAGCAAAAAGTAATAATCTAGAAAACTTACATGCATTTTGTGGTTCTTTAACTTGGATAACGCCCTTGCAGCATCCTGACGTCTGTTCATACATATGAATGCACATCCACGAGGAGGAATTAAGTCAATAGAGACGATGTCACCATACTCTCCAAAAGTATCAGACAGCTCTTCCTGGTGAACAAGCTGTAGGAAGAAAATAATAATTTTGAAACAGCAACCACCCAGGGAGGTACTATCTTAGTGCCAAGTGAGTGTAAAACTAAAGCCTGTAATTGTTATACATGATGGTAGGATTGCTGGTGTCTTTTGTCTGCCTCATAAATATGCAAGATTACAGGTACGTCTTGCTACTTCTACTTACACTTAGGACACACTACACATACATGTACACATTTATTAATACACACTCATCTGAGTTTTCTTCGATTTTATCTTAATAGTTCTTGTTCATATTACTTTTCCTTTTATATCCATAGGGGGGTGGAGTAAGAATCTTTCCTCCGTAAGCCATACGTGTTGTAAAATTCAACTAAAATGCCGGGAACAATGGCCTAGTAACCCCTTTTCCTGTAATAATTACTAAAAAGAATTAGAAGAAAACTGTCAAAGTGGGATGTCTGAATGTACGTGGATGTTGTGTGAATGATTCTGAATGTGTGGATGATGTGCGAATGATAAGAAAGAGATGACTGTGGATGTTATAAATGAGAAGAAGCTGGATGTCCTGGCTTTAAGTGAAACAAAGCCGAAGGGGTTGGGAGAGTTTCAGTGAAGAGGAATAAATGGGATTAGGTCAGGGTTTCAAATAGAGTTAGAGCTAAAGAAGGAGTAGCAATAATGTTGAAGGATAAGCTATGGCAGAAAAGAGGGACTATAAATGTATTAATTCAAGGATTATGTGGAGTAAAATGAAGGTTGGATGTGAAAAGTGGGTTATAGTAAGTGTATATGTACCTGGACAAGAGAGAAGTGCAGAGGAGAGAGAGAGATTTTGGGAAATGTTGAGTGAATGTGTGGGGAGATTTGAACCAAGTGTGAGAGTACTTGTGGTTGGGGATTTCAATGCTAAGTGGGTAAAAATGTTGTGGAGGTAGTAGTAGGTAAATCTGGGGAGCCAGGGTTAAATGAAAATGGGGAGCCTTTAATTGAGCTATGTGTAGAAAGAGGTTTGGTAATACATAATACATATTTTATGAAAAAGAAGATAAATAAATATACAAGGTATGATATAGCACGTAATGAAAGTAGTTTGTTAGATTACGTATTGGTGGATAAAAGGTTGATGGGTAGGCTCCATGATGTACACGTTTATAGAGGGGCAACTGATTCATCGGGTTATCATTTAGTTGTAGCTACAGTTAGAGTATGAGGTAGATGGGACAAGAAGAAAATGGCAACAACAAGTAAGAGAAAGGTGAAAGTGTATAAACTTAGGGAGGAGGAAGTTCGGGTGAGATATAAGCAACTATTGGCAGAAAGGTGGGCTAGTGCAAGTATGAGTAGCTGGGGGGTTGAATAGGGTAGGAATAGTTTTAAAAAGTGCAGTATTAGAATGTGGGGCAGAAGTTTGTGGTTATAGGAGGCTGGGTGCAGGAGGAAAGAGGAGTGATTGGTGGAATGATGAAGTAAAGGGTGTGATAAAAGAGAAAAAGGTAGCTTATGAGAGGTTTTTACAAAGCAGAAGTGTTATAAGAAGAGTAGAGTATACGGAGAGTAAAAGAAAGGTGAAGAGTGTGGTGAGAAAGTAAAAGGAGAGCAGACGATAGAGTGGGAGAGGCACTCTCAAGAAATTTTAATGAAAATAGGAAAAAAATTTGGAGTGAGCTAAACAAGTTAAGAATGCCTAGGGAACGAATGGATTTGTCAGTTAAAAACAGAGTAGGGGAGTTAGTAGATGGGGAGATGGAGGTATTGAATAGATAGAGAGAATATTTTGAGGAACTTTTAAATGTCGACAAAGAAAGGGAGGCGGTAATTTCATGCACTGGCCAGCGAGGTATACCATCTTTTAGGAGTGAAGAAGAGCAGGATGTTAGTGTGGGGGAGTTGCGTGAGGCATTACGAAGAATGAGAAGGGGGTAAAGCAGCTGGAACTGACGGGATCATGACAAGTGTTAAAACCAGGGGGGATATAGTGTTGAAGTGGTTGGTAGTTTTTGTTTAATAAATGTATGAAAGAGGGGAAGGTACCAAGGGATTGGCGGGGAGCATGTATAGTCCCTTAACCCTTTGAGGGTTTCGGACGTACTAGTACGGCTTACGACCCAAGGTTTTTGACGTACTAGTACGCCTAAATTCTAGCGCCCTCAAATCTAGTGGGAGAAAGCTGGTAGGCCTTCATATGAAAGAATGGGTCTCTGTGGTCAGTGTGCAGTCTAAAAAAAATCCTGCAGCACAGTGCATAATGAGAAAAAAAAAAACTTTGAAAGTTTTTTTGGAATAGAACAGCGACTTTGCACTGTATTTTCGTATGGTATTTATTGTTGTATTCTAGTTTTCTTGGTCTCATTTTATAGAATGGAAGACATATTACAGAAATTGAGATGATTTTGACTGGTTTTACAATGAAAGGTACCTTGAAATTGAGCTCAAAGTAGCAGAAATGTTCGATTTTTACCAAATTTCAAAAGAAAACAAATCGTGCCAAGCGCCCAATACACGTCAACTGGTGAGTCTAATATTCTTTCACAACTGCGCCAATAATATTTATACCAGTTTTTACACTAATGCAGTAGTCTGCATAACAGTAAATCTTAATTTTTTGTGAGAATAAAAATTCAAAGTGGAAAGCAAAAGAATATAAGAGGGGCCTTGAGACGTGACTAATGACCAGAGAAAATGTCATTTTAGTGCCAGGAATGTCTTTCTTGTTTATTCTGGACCCTATTCGGAAATTGGCATCCTTTGAAATTTATGTGAAATTGGCAAAATTGCTAAATTCTGACCACTGTACTGGATAGTTGAATTTCATAAATGGGTGGTTTCTTGCACCCATTCGATAGAAAAAATGGAGTTCTAGCGAAATATTCGTGTTTTTTGTCGACTTGTACAGTGGAATTGGGGGAAAATGGGGCTCAAAGTGGGCAAAATCACCGATGCATAAACATAGCCGAGACCGCTAACTTCGCGAGAGCATAATTCCGTAAGTTTTCCATCAAATTTCAAACTTTTGGTGTCCTTATGATCGGGAAAAAAATTCTCTATCTTTTCATAAGAGAATTTTTTTTTTTTTTTTTTTTTTGTTTAAATTTGGCCGACCCTGAGAACGAGTTTCGGAGAGGGCCTGTCGACCCTCAAAGGGTTAATATAAAGGAAAGGGGGACAAAAGAGACTGTAAAAATTATAGAGGAATAAGTTTACTGAGTATACCATGAAAAGTGAACATCAAAAATGGTATACAATACCGACAGGTTGGTAGGTAAGACACATAGGCAACAGTTAGGCAACTTTATTCCGAAACGTTTCGCCTGACTATGGAACTGAACTTCTCCAGGCCGAGGGACTGACAACCTCAAATTCTACGACTTCAAGGGTGATGGACTGATTACATCGTCTTCACATCTCTACTGTTCCTGCCTACTTTCTGTATTCGACTGAGGAAGCCTAATGTGTAGGCGAAACGTTTCGGAATAAAGTTGCCTAACTGTTGCCTATGTGTCTTACCTACCAACCAGGAAAAGTGAACGGTAGGGTCATTATTGAAAGAATTAGAGATAAGACAGAATGTACGATTGTGGATGAGCAAGGAGGTTTCAGAATGGGTAGGGGATGTGTAGATCAAGTGTTTACATTGAATCTATATATGTGAACAGTATTTGGATAAATGTAGGGAAGTTTTTATTGCATTTATGAATTTAGAAAAGGCATGTGATAGAGTGGATAGGGGAGCAATGCGGCAGATGTTGCAAGTACAGTGGTCCCTAAATAATCGTCCATAATCCGTTCCTGGAAGTGGGACTATTATTGAAATGGACGATTTTCGAATCAATTTTCCCCATAAGAAATAATGTAAATCCAATTAATTCATTCCAGACACCCAGAAGTATCAAGAACAATTTTTTTTTTTTACCTAAAAGATAGATTTACATGCACAAAAGAATGAACATTCAACATGACAGCTACCTTTATTGAAGGCTGTTGTTGATGAATGGAAGACAGGGAGGAGGAGAGAGGGAAGAGAGGTTATTTGGAAGGGGAATCCCCCTCCATAAGGACTCTAGGGCACTAATAAAATGTATAAATGAACATTGGTAATAGGGGTAGTTGATGAGTGGAACTGTCTGCCTAGTAGGGTGATCAAAGCTAAAACATTGGGTAGTTTCAAATTTAGGTTGGATAAATACACGAGTGAGAGGGGTTGGATTTGAGTCGGACTTGCACCTGAGCTTATTGTTTGGGTAGCATCTGTTCTGTTAGTGGGTTGGATTTGTGAAGGACCAGCCTAGTATGGGCCAACAGGCTTATTGCAGTGTTCCTCCTTTCCAATGTTCTAAAAGCTATGGCTTGGGTAGTTTCAAATTTAGGTTGGATAAATACACGAGTGAAAGGGGCTGGATTTGAGTCGGACTTGCACCTGAGTTTATTGCTTGGGTAGCATTTGTTAAGAACATAAGAAAGGAGGAACACTGCAGCAGGCCTGTTGGCCCATACTAGGCAGGTCCTTTACAATTCATCCCACATTTGTCCAACCCAATTTTCAATGCTACCCAAGAAATAAGCTCTGATGTGCAAGTCCCACTCAAATCCAACCCCTCCCACTCATGTACTTATCCAACCTAAATTTGAAACTACCCAAAGTCCTAGCCTCAATAACCCAACTAGGTACACTGTTCCACTCATCAACTACCCTATTTCCAAACCAATACTTTCCTACGTCCTTTCTAAATCTAAACTTATCTAATTTAAATCCATTACTGCGGGTTCTCTCTTGGAGAGGGTTGGATTTGTGAAGAACCGGCCTAGTATGGGCCAGCAGGCCTGTTCCAGTGTTCCTACTTAAGTTCTTATTTAACATCACACTTACCAGTAGGGTGATTGAGGCTAGGACCTTGGGTAGCTTCAAGAAGAGATTGGACAAATATACGAGTTGGAGGAGCTGAGTTTGATTTGTGTCATTGGGTACGGGAGTAAATTCTTGGGTAGCTTTGGGTGGAGGTCATTTTGATAAGGACCTGCCTTGTATG